CGTAGTGTGAATATCTGATCTATACAACCACGTCCAGGTCGAAAACCAGCCTGGTTTTCTCTAGTCTGCTCTTCACGAGCTTTGATTAGGCGTCGAAGTATTATTGAAGCTAATATTTTAGACACTATATTAGTCAAACTGATTCCTCTGTGATTGTCACAAGAGGACTTTTGTCCTTTCTTATAGACTGGCACAATCAGTGATTGAGACCAGTCAGATGGGATTACGTCCAGTTCCCAAATTCTACCTAAGACCTCAGTTAATCTCATTGCTAATACTGGACCACCATCCTTAAAAATCTCAGGAGTAAACCTGTCAGGGCCTGCTGCTCTCCCTCGTTTCAGATTTCCTATGGCTTTTTCAACTTCGTAAAGGGACGGAGGACCTACATTAACTTGCCATTCAGGTTGACTGGAGATCGTGGGAAACCGAAGTGTGGCTGAAGGCCAGTTGAACTGATCCCTAAAGTGTTCTGCCCATCGATCCAATCTCCTGGATTGAGAATGAATAATATGTCCATCTTTCTCTGAGATTGTTTCGCTAACGGTCGGGTTCCTAATTCCGGTTTCCTTAACGAGTCTGAACAATTGTCTGCTATTACCTATTGCCGCTGCCTTTTCCATCTCTCTTGCTTTCGCTACCCACCACTGTTCGCGATCATTGCGTAGACTTCTTGTCAGCTTGCGCTTAAGCTGACTCCGCTCTTCATTATGTTCAGAGCCAGGTGGAATGAGTTTCCGAGCATCTATCAGTGCGATAGATGCTGCTGAGATCCAGTGTTGCTCCCTAACCTTCTGGTTTACCTTACTAGCAGATATCACTGCTGTTTCCACAGCTTTTCGGATATCATTCCATGCTGCATCGGGGTGGGCATCACATACATGGCTGCCTAACTGTTTTCCTAGTTGTTCCTGAAATATACTCTTAGCTTGACTATCATTAAGTAGGGCCCTAAGAGGTTTCCTTGCAGCGTCTTTCCTACGTCCAGTAAGACGCAAGCAAATACGCGCTCGCACTAGAGCATGATCTGAATCTAGGCATGTGCTCCAGAATGAGCGACAGTCTTCTATCGAGCCCCTCCATCGGTGGCTGATAGCGATGTGATCTATTTGGGTCCAACGTTGGGACGAATTAGGGGGTCGCCATGTTAAAAGATGTTTTTCCTTATGCTTAAAGTTAGTATTTGCAAGGAACAGGCGGTTATCTGAGCATAGCTGCAACAGACGGTCGCCATTATCTGTTCTTTGAGCCACGACACCATAAGATCCACCTAGGTGTCTTTCCCTATCGCTTAGTTTACCTACTTGAGCATTAAAGTCACCGGCCATTATTACTACTAGCTTTTCGGAGAAGGTCGGAAAGCTTTCTGTAAAACTCATCTTTTACATCATCTGAGCTGCAGTCAGTGGGAGAATAGACAGAGACGAAGAGGCAACGACGAGTGTCCCTATCTTTTCGGATCTTACTGTTCCGTTCAGTCGGACAGCGCACAAACGACTGTCTACTGGGATCCACTCTAAGAGAGCTAGTTCTGCCCTAGGACTCAATGCTATACCTACGCCGGCGAGGCCACGGGAAGCAGAATCTGGGCTTCCAGATACACGAAGTTTGAGGTCAAATAGATGACGCTACTCGGATCCTGTATGCGCGTTTCGGAGACGCAGCACACATCGATGGCGCGGGATTCTAAAGTCCTAGCTAAGGAAGCCTGTTGTCCTATTTGGCACAGTGTTCGGACGTTAACAGCTCCTACGTGTAGCTTAGAGAGTGGTTTCAGGAGACCAGGAATAGCGTTCCGCGTACTCGAATCGTTTGCCCTAGCGGTGCGAGATGATAAGGAGACGTGAGAAGGGCCATGGAGATAAGAGAGGTATTAGGAGGTGTAGGAAGGATTTGAATGTGACCAACTTGTTCTCGTGTGTTGTTACGGGTATGAGGGATGATATCACTTCCCGGCTGCCCACACCGTGGAAGGGTATTTCTTGAGGAACCTGAAAAGGAAATTGGATTAGTGTTGGTCTTGACGACCTGGGAGCGTGACCGCAGAGCCCAAAGGACAACTGCTTGAGGCCGGTCGCGCACGGCCTTTTTGTGGAAGGTTTTTGACGTGTTAGCTCCGTTCTTCAAGGGGCCTTACCGCCGGAGACGGAAATCCGTGAGGTAAGGTGAGGTGTGACATTTTTAGGGTCGACCTTTTCTAACCCCACCCCTCCTTGTGGGAATGCAGCATCGCTACAGATGCTGGTTGTCCGAGGGAAACAGCTTACTGCTGTCACACCCCGCTACAGTCAGCAGTACGACTTCGCCGTCAGACCTTGAGTTGCTGCTTTTAGTCTCACTGTTCTCCAACCGACCTGCCTGGCATGGTAGAACCTACAGGAACATATGTTCCAGCCAATATAGCTCGGTTGGGTCATCACGATAGGCAAACCCGACCACCGCGTCAAGGTAGCAGCTTCGGTCGGGGTCTAAAATTAATCGCGTCTCTCCAACAGCATGGACAACCAGCCATATAATAAAGCATTGCATAATAAGTGCAGTGAGACAGTCAAATGGCGGGGAATAATTCCCTGATCTTGTCTGCATAATTTACTGGAAAATAATTGAATTATGATTTGACCACTATAGTAAGTGTGAGTCCCTCCAATCAGTCCCTACTAAAAATAAAAATTAGTTGTGCGAAAGCTTTGATTGCTTCAGATGTGACCAACTGAAGCTACTGAAAGCGGTAAGCGAGAATTAGGGATTGAAATCCTATATTTGACTCTTGACTCCTTCCATTTCGTGTAGCGCCAGTTTTGGTCCTAAATGTAAGTCATCCCGTAAGCCTCAGGCCGGTTTTGTTTTCTTTTCTACCTTGTAGACTGTTCACATCTATCCAGAAAGTTAATTCCTCCAGTCACTGACCAAGTATCTATCAACTACTCGGTAACGAGCATCATACATACGCTCAGTCATCGTCAAATCTTGAAATCCTCATCTAGTTGGGTATTCAGTGTACTAGTGCTATTGGTGTTCACGAATTCACGTAGTGAACCAAACGAAGTTTGTGGAACCTTCAGGCACGTGATTATGGATTCAGTTAGACAAGTTGTTACACGTACTGCCCTTGGACTTGCCGAGTATGTAACACCTATACTAAGAGAGTCTAAATTCCGGGAAACAGGAGTCATCACTCCTGAAGAGTTTGTAGCAGCAGGGGACTTTTTAGTTTATCATTGTCCAACTTGGCAATGGGCAACTGGCGATAAAGGTACTCGTCCTTATCTTCCCAAAGAAAAACAGTATCTGGTTACTCGCAGTGTACCTTGCTACAAAAGAGTGAAGCAGATGGCAGATCATAACGAAGAGTTTGAGGAAGTGTTAGAGGAAGAGGATGGTGACGGTGGTTGGGTAGACACACATCATTATGCGACTAAAAGTGACAATCCTGAGATCGAAAATGCAAATGAAATGACTGTTTTGAAATCGGATAATATGTTGAATCATCAGCAAAGTAACACTGTTTCCGATTGTGATGAAGAAGAGGATGAAGATATGGAAGCTTTCTTGCAGAGTGGTATGTTGGATGAATGCGATCCAGCAGCTGTTAGTGCCCGTACAAAGGTACTCAATACATCAGGCTCAAACCAAACGACATTACATTCCGGAGTAGACCAGAAGGCAAATTGTGAAAATAACGGGATTCTGCAATTAAGAACTTATGATCTGTATATCACCTATGATAAATATTATCAAACTCCACGTTTATGGTTGTATGGTTACAATGAACATCATCAACCGTTGACGGAAGCTGAGATGTACGAGGACTTCAGTCAGGATCACGCGAGGAAGACTGTTACGACTGAAGCACATCCACACTTGTCCGGCCACATGATGCCGTCGATCCACCCATGTCGACAGGCTGATGTAATGCGGAAATTAATTGAAGCTGTAGCTGACGGTGGGGCTGAATTAGCTGTTCATCAATATCTTATGATATTTCTAAAATTTGTCCAAGCTGTTATACCTACAATTGAATATGATTATACACGAAATTTCAATCTCTCTTCATTTGCTTAATGTCAGTCCTCTTCATGATTTATATGTTCTGGCAGTTTTATTGACCCATTGGACTATTATGATTGAGGCTTCTTCATAGCTCGCTTGTATTTCATCTTTTTATTTTAAAAGAAATCATAATGCTCAGATGTTATACCCCAATGCCTTTAAAGTGGATCATTTGTTGACTTTAATGATTAAAATATGTGGGTTTGTGTAAATGCTTTTCTTTTTTAATTCCAAATGAAATCCCCTACATATATACAGTTAGCACTGCTCTATTCGTCTATTTTGTTTTTGGTTACTTGTGAACATGTGTTCCTCTCGACAAAAAAACATAACTGAGTTGGTTCTCGATGGGTCATGTGCCGATCGACCTCTTTTAAGGAGAAGTGTAAAAGTTGGTCAACTCGAATGATCTTACTGGTCTTAAAATGACGCTGGTTTTGTCCCGTTTTATAGACCACCCTGAGCCCGAGACCATTATCTTTAGTCACTGACTGATCATCTACCAGCTATATATTGACTTGAATTGTACATTATTAGCTAATTCTCACGCTTGTGCCGCTCAGTCTTTTATTGGGGGGCATCCTAACGACGAACATTACGGTCGCTTCTCTACAGATGAGTCATACAGTGTGCAGTATTTTGGACAGAGACCATATTAGCTCACACCCCATGATTCCTTCGGTGCTTGAATTAGTGGTTTCACCATCCTCATACTCGATCGTAGTGAGAACAATGTTCTTTCTACAGGGAATTCTGTGTAGGACTTGGTCGTCTATATAAGTTTTAAATGTGATTCCCGATGGCCTTACTGGGCTTCAGCTGACTCCAGTTTTATTGTTTTCTACCTTGTAGACTATTCATCTCGGTCTGTAAGATCACTTCAATTGCTGACCGAGTACACATCAACTACGTTGAACTCAATATCTCACAATTCGTATTTCTCCTAAGAAATGAAAGGTGGTTTCCAGCCATTACTCAGTATTTCGCGTTCGTATTATCCTATTGTAATTCGGAATCCAGATAGAATGTCTAGAATAGTAAGTCAACAACTATTCATCTTATTATTTTTCAGAGGCAATTCGGATTTCTAGCCTTCTTTATGCTCCCGATGGCCGGCGCACTTGCAATAGCCACAACCTTCAAAAAGCATTCAAAGGAGTACAAGGGTCCAGAAATAGTGAAATAATGTAGTGTTTGTCAGTCATTATTTTATATAGTTTAGAAGAGACTAGTGTTTATTTGTTCGTTTATATGTTAAAATAACCTTGAGCTGGTGAGAGTTTGCGCTGAACATCTTTCATTAGTGTCCTACGTGGTTCACTAAATTCAATAATTGAAAGATAAGTTCCCTGAACAGCATTCTTCCGATATACATTAAAGTCGAATGTTTGTCCAGTCATTAAAAATAGTACATCAGAATTTAGTGGTTTGCAGCAGGTAGCGAGTTTCACTGCATAAAGTTCCCTTATATGTAATAGGGGATAGACGCGTTACCCATTTTCACGAGAGTTTAATGTTCTCGAGATTTAATTTTACACCTATTGATCAAGGATTGACAAGTCATTAATGTAGCTTAACTTTGGTCCTTCATCTTAAATTGTTTTAGCTTCTCAGTGAATTCCTTTTGTCATCTATAAGATCCTTATCCAGACTTACAAATCGTGCATAGTTTGTCAGTTTCATATGAGTGATTTGAGTTTTCCCATTTCTAGTAGGAGATGGAGTATAAGCGAGTCTGTGATAACTACTATTGTTGCAAACACGAATGGCCACTATTTGTAATTTTATTATTCTAGAAGAGGTAGCCACTACATAAAGTTACTTCCGTTTGTTAAATCAAGATGTTTATGCTTAAGGCACTCTGTAGACATCGCACATGGCATCTCCCGAAACCAGTCTAGCCATGTACTCACAATGACAGTCCCACCAACTATCGTTGGATCAAATCAGTATAAGACTCTCATTCTGTTGCGTGCCTGTCCGTCATACTGGATGCAAAACCACAACAAGAACATTAGAATTCAGCTTAACAGTGGAAAGTTGACCAATCATAAAAGCGATATTCATCCCCATATAATTCGAGATAGTGTCCGAAGTGCATAGATATTTATTCATGACGAAACAAAAAGCATGAAAACATGAATTTAGGCGGCATCTATTGAAGTGGTAAGTGCTCAGAAAACTACCCGTCAATCTTCGAACACAAGGAGCAAAGGCAACATGGAGGTTAATAGGGAGTTTACGCAACTATCGTTTGCTTGTTGTAGGAAAGGTAAACATCTGTTCACTTAATTAACGAAAAGACCGTTTTAATCTTGAATTTCCAAGTAGTAGTTCATTAAAACATTTTGAAAGGTTAAGTAGCCATTTTGGACATCTAGAAAGAATATGATTTATTTACTTTCAGTAACATCAGATTTTTAGAACCCACTAATTTGTATCGCAAAAAATTTGTCTTAATAGCTTTCATCGTAAAAGTACCAAAATCTGATTGGAGGTTACCTTCGGATTTTTATTGGTTGAATGAGAACACTATATCGGCATTCGGAACTAGACTGTAGTTCATAGAGTTTGTCTGTTTCATTATGAAAACCAAACATGCGAAGCTAAGAGTTTTTCTAGATTTAAACGTAGCAGGCGTTATATATTGAAACGACCTAGTACATATCACTTGGTGAATAGTATACAGACAAAATAGTTCACATCATGACTATATACAAAATGCACTTTTCTTTTACCCAAGTGGTAATTTATCAGTAGCTTCTTTTTAGATAGGAAGGACCTACATATGCAATTCTGATTATTTACATCGAGCCGACCATATATTTATTAACACTAATAAAGACCCTAGACTTTCAGACTATCCATTAATCTACCGTAGTTTAAAAACTACATCGCTAGCGTCTCAGTCACTTATTTGTCTTAATTAAATGGACAATAACAGATATACGTGAATGTTTTTTAAAATATCCAGCTTACATCCATCCTAAGCGCGTAAAGCGTCAGTAGTGTAACCTGGCTATGAATGTTATATTCTGAAAAAGTACGGACAATTCAAAAGAAAACTTATGAATATCGAATTTCAACGAGATACGGCTGCCGAACTCTTGAACAAACAGATTTCGAAATCCCTGAAAAAAACGTATTACTCAGCTAAACTCTGTATTGTTTCCTCAAGCCGGTCTACCATTCACGAATTTTCGATTTGCACCTATAAATTTAGTCGCTACCGTGGGGCATGTTACACTAGCCACAAATTGGTCACTTCCAAGCGCATTTCAGAATACTGCCCGGCACGGCTTTTAGGAAGGGTCCAAAACAATCAGTTCAGTATATGAGCATCTGACCAACTCATGGCAAGTCGCTTCGCAGGAATCTTTCGTCAACATAATATACACACTCAGAGAAACTGAGTCAAAGCCAAATAAAAAGCACGCTAGAGACTTACCCATTAGTCTCCGAACTCGATGTGCAAACACGAGACGTCCAACCTCTCATCCTTCATTTGGGTCAATGCCCTTCTGCAAAATATCCTCATTAGGTTTGTGATTTTGGACTGTAATCAGTCATTACTTACCTTTAAAAATTCTTCAAAATTATCACTGTTATTATGAACTTCATGCTTTTCGTTTTTCCTTTATATCTGTCAAGGGGATAACTATCTTCCGAAAATCTAACCCGTAAATTACTCCCACCCTATTCTTCTCTAACCCCCGGATTATTGCGCATCCTCTCAGACCACTTTATGATACGACCCTTCCTATCCTTCTATAGACTTTTATTTGCCATACAACTATAAATGCGAATGTACAACTTGAGTAAATGATTTCATTGTAAAGAAAATCCCTTCGGTGGATCTTTTTTATTCTGCATACTAATTGTCAACCGACTTTGTTTTGATGTTTCTGAAAAGAATTCGGCATGATGGTAAAACCTAGTACTGAATAATGGAATCAGAAGTCAGTTGCATAGTTAGGATAACGGAGGGTGGGTTTGGAAAACGCTATGGCATCTTCTGGAGGCATCCATTCCTAAGGTAATTGTGGACCATTCATTTGTGACATTAATAACTAATGTACTAAGAAACTTGTAATACACTGAGCACACTAAAATTATTGAATTAACAACAAAATCGTGAATGACTGGTGATATTATATTCATAGTTTACGGTGCAATATACTACGAACGGCATTTTGCTGCTCAGCTGTAGTTTCCAGTCAGCGAGCGTTAACTAAGCAACCACACACAGCAAACTTCAGGCACTACATGACCAAATAATGGTTGTAAATTCATAATTATCAAGGGCAAAAACAGATCAATTTGTGGTACTCTGTTGCGTAGTTAAACAAGGTAGTGATTTCAAATGCAGTAGAAAACGAGATTTACAAATATCTGAGTTTGGCTTTCATGGTAAAGGTTCCACGTAATCTGGATAAATGTCGACTTCTGAGTTCGGTAATTTAGACCATTCCATAAGACGATGGAATGTCGTGAAATGTGTAAGGAATGCAGATGGAATAGCCACACCTTGGACACGATAGACAACGTTACTTGAAGATCCTCGAAGATGACCTATTCGGGAAAATGAACTGATGGATATTTTTCCAATAAGGCCAGTTGATCGGATTAATGGGCCATTAGTGAAACACTAACAAAGATAAAATAAAATTGTTGTACGATCAACAAATTTTGTGTCTAACGAATCGCCAAAAATACATTTCACACAATAAAACAGAATAAGATAAATATTACTTTCACATAATTTTAGACTGAAATCGCATACAGAGCATATCTTACCTTTTCGACACGTAACAAACTATATTCAGCCTAGTGTCCAAATGAGATTTGCATTTACCGATGCATTCGCTTATTACTAACATATATGAGGTATAAGCTTGACGCACTATTTCATCGGCCGCCAAATGCCCTGGTACGGCCGAGGGTGGGAAGAGTTAGGTTTCTCGAAGTGCTCTCACATGACAGGGAAGTCCTACTCACTGCCTTATCGTAGCGGGAGTGTTTACAAAATTAAGAGGACGGAGAGTCCACCTGGCGGAGTTGGAAAACACTGATTCCAAACCATTGGTGCAAATGGGCTCCATTATCTTGGAGGAACAAATGGTGTATGAACCAATTATTAGTCACCGGCCGCAACGGGACTGCATCTCCTTACGTTGCTACACTGTCTTTTGGATTAGATCTCTAGGTCGAAAGCTCCGGGTGTGATCCGCTAGAAAATTACCTCCGGTCTGGGTACCCCGGCAGTACCACAGCACACACAAGCCAACTGACCTATGCGGCACATATGCAGTCGGTGCTCCCTTGTATGAATATTTGTGTGTTCAAATAAAATAAATTGCGTCACTGAATGCTTTTCTATATCTGCATTCATATAAATCATCACAATATAGAAAGAATTATGCCTTAACTAAACTATCTTTTAAAATATTTGTAAATAGATCAATCCAAGCTGTAAGATAATTATTTAGTAGGGAATGATGATACTAACTGGTTAATTCACTGACAGAATGGTTCGGACTTAGCAATTGATTGTTTGGTGAACAAGCTCAAAATGACTATTCACAGTTCTACAAATGCCTAAAAACTTTTTTTCTTGAGAAAATGTAACAGTACGTTACGATTGAAATGATGGGATATTTTATATTAGTTTTTTAGATCCATCCGATAATTATGACCTACATTTACTAACGTTTGACTCTATTTTGAATTAAGTCGATAGACCTAAATCAGCAAGAACCTTCACTACTTAACGGTTCAGTAACCATTTTATGTAAATACAATGTTATGATAATAGGTAGAGTTTGATGTCGGTACCTCAACAAATTTTCCCACTCGGTATACAGGTAGGGTGGACCTTTCTGTAAATCTATCCTTGTTTGAAGATAAGTCAAGTTGTAGTGCATTACTACTGTCTTGATGTTCGTTGAATACATGACTAATCTGTTGTGATCTTAATGGATTGTCAGCAAATAACTTCTGAAGTAGTTCACTGTGAATTGATACATCTAAAGGTTCAAAACTTAAGTCGTCCGCAGCCATCCGTTGAATATGTGTATTTAATGCATATAATTCTTGAGGTGAAGGCGTCCAATTCTCTAAAGATTGATGTCCAGGATTAAATGAAATATCACATACGAATCCACCACTTTTTGGGTTAAGTAAAGGGAGATTGATTACACGAACATTATGTTTTTGATGAAAAGCTGTTTCTAAAGTGGCGGCTAGAAGGAGTGTACATGATTGCCAAAATGCGTTATTTGCAGCTGTCGGATCATAATGAGGACCCTATCAAATAAATATAAATAAAAGTGAACAATTGTACAATATTATTGACAGAATCCATATATTACGGATAGACGTTGTGTATATTACTGCTTTGTTGTCTAGGATTTTTTGGAATCATCCTGTCAGTATTACTTGCATGAATGCATTTATCACGAACTTACTCCATTTAGCGTAAACGTAAAAACTAACTAGGAATGGATATTTGTAGAGGCTTTTGTATCGCAGTTCTGACATTCAGGACTACAAGTGACCGTCCTGGGTTCAGATACAAACTGATTATCAATAATTTCATACTGATTGTACAAGTTAGTGACCAGTAGCGGGTTGACATTTAAAACGGAAGACATCAGGTTCGAGTTGTGGACGCCTTGACTGACACCCAAGCATATCTTGCTAACGATTAGTTGCTTCTTTATTTACGCAGTCTACATAAGTGTTCTTTAACGGATTCAGCTTAAGCACTGAAGTGTGTTGGGGATGTGTAATCCACTAATACAACTTATGAGAAAGGAAATCAACTTAAGGTTAACTTTCAGCACATTTTCGTTACATTCATTTACCAACTTTCAGTGTTTAGTTACAATTACTCAGATAATAAATCCTAGTCATTGTAGCTCATATATAGCCGACTAACTTAAGCGTACATTTAATTTTACTGGGAGGTTAAGAAACTGAACTTCCCGTTCTAGTTAGCGGGGTGGGGAAGAAAGGGATAGTAGTATCGTCGGGTTTTTGAAAAATTAACCTAATGCGTAAAGTCATCAGAGCGAATTGGAAAATCCCATTTCTGTGGCATGGAAAATAAATAGCTTTCTAACATAAAGGGTACTATGACAGCAACCGCATGTAAACGCTTTTAAACAATTACGACAATCTGGAACGAACCTTGAATTGCACAAAATCAAGTGAGCAATCACATGACAGTGGCCGATTCATATCCCATGGATTATTGTTAACCATAGCAATAACACTTTCTTTGACCAAGATCTCAGACAAATGCTTTGCACAATCTAGAGGTGTTGATATACCTTTAGTCATTTCCAAAGTTGATTCCCCTAAAAATCCACGATATGTAACTATGACTTTCTCAACACGTGGTGACAAGTAAAGGTTAACTTGTTGTTCTTTAATTTCGTTCCATAACTGTAAACAATCACGATGGCGTGAAATTTCAGACACTTCTTTGTTCATACAAAGATTGCTACATAACCTAACACTGAGAAGCAATTTTTGTCTCCACATTTAGTAAATGGTAGTTGGAGAATCTGAAACATTCAGAAAAACAACAATCTCAGATATATATAGGGAGGGAGAAAAATAAAAATATTAATGGCATGAAAAACTGAAATCCGTCCAAGTCCACATTTAATAGTTCCAGAATAATTACTTCACACTATAAACTAATTTTATCATCAACTACTACATTCTTAGATAATGCAAAGAGAAAACAGCGTTTAACCGCATGATATATTAACGCAATACATTTTAAACAATCTGATCATATATTTACTTGTCGAGACATCAGAAAAATAAATGCTAAACTAGACATATTGGAATACAGAGGTGATAATAATGAAAAACGATATGAATCACGGTATTTTTAATGATAAGTTAGTATTACCAGCATACATTTAATGTAAATGAAAATTACTTTCGAGCATAGGCAGGTTTCCGTATGACTAACGCTCTAACAAACCCAATTATTTGCCTTAGATAACTTCTACGCAAGACTAGGTATGCTGAGTTAAGACCTGTCTTATAACCGGTTTTAACTATGAGTTAGGTAATGAGAGATGTGTGTTTGTCATTCACCTGTTTTAATTATTTATTAAAACATGAATAATGGGCACCTAGATACACGCTTCACAATAAGAAAACGACACCGTGACGATAGAGAAAGGTGAGTATGACGAAGTATGGGATAAAAATAAGTGAGTAGTGAATAATAGGAGGAGCAGTTTAGTTAAGAAAAATACAACCGGAAAGAACCCTAATAGTTAAGGTTTTTCTTGTTTTTTATGAAAAAGTAGAAAAAAATACAACAGGGCCGCTACTAAATTTTCTTCTGAAGTATGTCTGATAACATCTCAAGCCACTGAATTGCTCTGTCTTTAGGACCCTAACCAGGAAGCCGTGAAGGACCGATAGGTGTCAGTCTTGTGCAACTTTCTTTCATATCCTGTACCGTGTCCATCATCCCAGCGCTGGTTAAACGTACATCAAAGTAGCTGCAAAAATGAGGAGCCAAATGCCCAAACGTATAGGTTTAAATATTTGCTGTAACAAAGCATTCCTCATCGCAGACATAAGAAGACTACTATCGAGCACACTGTTGGATCCAATTGGGGATAAACCTTTCAAATTTATAACAGGTGCATTGAAATCCTCCAATATTAGGCACTGGTTACTTTTACGCCAGAGCTTAATGTGTTCTAAAACGAAATCATCAACTGAGTAGATTAGGATACATTAGATGAAAAATAAAGGTTGGTTCACAACTAGTAACCTGTTAAGTTTCACCATCATGCGTCTTACAAGCAGAGATATAAATGCAAACTCTTTAATATAATAGGAGTACTTCACTTTCGTATCATTTGTTCTAATTATTTTTTAAGTACGTGCAACTTAAAGTGATGGAGTGATATCAATCACACACTAAGTTTCAGTCACACCAGTGATGAGTAGTTTTGGTACATTTGATGATGAAATTTGTTTTATAAACTGCGAGGATAAGTGAACAAAAATTCCAAAAAGAACAATTTAAGCCTTAGTAGCATTGGGTTATAGAACCGTACCACTCAGAAATCCTAAATTTCCGATATTTTTCTCCCCAGATTTTGTTGGGTTACTAGCTCACTAAAAACCTCTTCAGACAGTGATTGAGTGACCAGTCCAACCGGTTACGTTTCTTAATTATAAACATTGTGTGCATTTTTTAGCATTATACTTCTATCCTATGTACTACCTAAAATCAACTTTAAAATTATCCTAGGCTGGATTTTACTATCGACCCTTTTTGTGAAATATGTATTGCTACTGTCATTACTGATAGAACACGCCAGAGAACAGATACTGTTAGGATCAATAGAATAGGATTTGATCGGCTCTAGGATACACTCTTGCATATAATCAGACTAAAAGACGGAGTACTTCCGAAGTTCGTACTTAATTTGACACTGTTGACAAATTATAACTGGAATCATCAAGGCCAAGGGAAAAGAGGAAGACAAAGAACACATCATCTTGAAAAATGGAGACAGATATGAGAAACATTTGATAGAACTGGAAGGGAAGGTCCAGGACAGAGTGGGTTGGAGAATGCTGGTCGGCGGCCTATGCTCCATTGGCAGTAACAGGCGTAAGTAAGTAAGAACCTTCGCCTTCTTAAGTTTTATCAACTTTCTTTTTGGACTTAACTATCCTAATATGGGATTAAATGCAAAATACCTGGTTTCTGCACATCAGTATTTTTCATCCTGACTCTCAGTTTGTACAGCGGATGTACTTTATGCGAATGGTATTTCCAATTTGGCAAGTGTCTTAGACCTTTCAATTTTACGTATGACTAGCCAGTACGGGTATTTTTCTCTTTCGCGACGATACACAAGTAGATGTGACTATTTGGGGTCTAATTGTATATATGTGTTGATTTATGTATCAACAAAAACTGTCACCAAATGTTCATGCTTATCGACATATTTTGCAGTGCGATGCGTAGTAACATTCATAAACGGGATGGCGTCGAATATAAAGTGATACGCATCTGAGTAACGTTGTGAATAAAGCAGTACGCAAATAGGTTTACCGAACCTTTTCTATGTGCAGTTGGTGTGAGATTTGTGTTAACCGTGTGTTAAAACCTTTGGGTTCAACATACTGAATACCATTCACCATAGGGTGACAACAATCCATACTTTAGCGGACATATTTATAGCATGAGTCATCTGCAAAACGAAATGTGCTTTTAGAAGTGCAGGTAAAGATGTGGAAATTTTCGTTATTATTTATCGCACCTTAACTCACTAGAACTCAATGTGAACAAAGAAGACAGGATGTAATGCGTCATTAAGACCAGAATCAACAAGGTTGCATAATCACTAAAATGGCAGTCTTCTTTAAATAGCACCTTAATACACACGTTAACTACTTTCAAGAGAGAACTCGGAAATCAGTGTAGTTCTTATAAACTAAATATTTTGGTTTTAGTTGCAAGACAATTTGAAAATAATGCTTAGCCAGTAACTATATCAAAAGTACATACATCACCAATTCTAAGTGGTGGGTGGCTATTTAAATCAGTGTACATTTCAAGTGCTTTATCATTTGTCTCAATCGACTATAATTATATAATATAATACTATACCGCTTGTTCATTTCCTATTGCTGTTTTTGTTACTGCAACAGCATCATTGATACTTAGAAAATTTCATATTCAGTGTTGGGTTTATCCTGGATCCTAATAATCTTGAAACCCAACATACCGAATTGTCGCCGAGGGAAGGCGAATATTACCTAGAACGGCTCAACGCCTGATATTTGTCAAATAACCTAAAGAAAGATGAGATTGCTGCGGATTCCATGGCTTCTATACGAAGTACATGGTTTGCTGGAAATTCCGGAATTTTTTTAGCTAACTTTGCTTTGGTTCCACAAACTGGAACGATTATTAACTGGTCGTCTTCATGTAATATCGTATTAAACCCGTGATAGTGCGTAATACAACACATTAATTCATGCTCAAACCAGGGATTTAATACTATAACTTAAACTAGGGCTTCTAAGTATAATTTTGGTGAGCAGCTAAATACTGAACACATTATTCGTCCAATCACTTGTATGAATGATCCCAAGCCTGGGAAGTAGCTCATTCAGATATCCTTCTCTGCGTCCTCAACTGTCAAAATGTTAATAATGAAACTATTACGAAGAACCTTGGTATGCTATTGTCGAGAGTAAATAAATCTAACACTGAGTCTTAGACTTCTGTGGATCCACAGAAGTCTCAAATTTCTTCCGACAATTTGTTTCGAATCATGAAGTCTGATAGATAAACCTAAATTTAAATCGAATTATTGATCGAGTATAAGATCTTGTTTTTTTCGTGTGATAGAGAACACCTCTCCAGTTCACATCGGTTCTGTTATGTTCTTAATGCAAAATGTGAGAAAACTGAATACTGCCACTCGGCTTATGAAAAATCTGAGACGTTACCGACGAATGCTTCGGCTGTGTTGTCTACTACATACGAAACAAGATCTAATACTCGACCAAGACATCGATTTCAGTTTGGAATTACTTATCAAACTTCATGAGTCAAAACGATTTCTCTCAGAAGACATTTGAGACTTCTATGCTGTGTTAGATTTATTTACACTCGACAATAACATATTACCCAATCTCCCTATCTTGTGGGGAATTTTGTCCCTTTTTAAGAAACTTCGGAGGAGCAGTTATAGAAAATTTTAAGGAAATGGCACAAAACTCCAAAATAGGGAGGTCGGGAAGGTCTCGTCGTAATAGGTCCATTATTAACAGTTTGACAATTGAGAATGCATAGGAGATGGTCCATTGTTATCTCCGTATCTATAATCAACGACTTATTTAAACTACGAAACTGAAAAGCCAAGAAGTGATGGACTAAATAACTTCACCAAAGGAAGAAACTTGACGTAAAGCACTACTCGAAATCCCGCCTATGATTAACAACTCTCACAATAGATGAGTCTTCAGTCTTCAGTGATAAGGAAAGTAGGTTGGTGAACCTGTGTTAATCCTGACAGATTGCTTTTCAATGAAGGTCCAGCTTCTCCTTGAAAATATTCACTGATGGGCGTTATACCACTTGTTCGGGTAAGGCGTTCCAGTCATTGACTACTTGATGAGAAAAACGGGACCCCACTTTAAGTTTATTAGATCTTAGTTTATGAACATTCTTGCTATGACCTCGGAGATTATTGGTGCTGGAGGGGGCAAAAAGATAAGACATATTAACACCCAAATCATAATTAAAGATACGAAATGCCAGTATAAGATCACCTCGCGTCCTATGATACGACAAGGGGAAAAGGTTTAGGAGTTTTAAACGCCCATCGTAAGGGAGTTTAGAAAAACCTTTCACTAATTTCGTTTCCAGACACTGAAGACGCTCAAGTTAGTTAGTATCCTTTATCAGACATGGACTAGCTGCTTGTATACAGTACTCTAAATGTGGTCTTACATATGTGGAATATAGAATTCGAAACATTTCCTCTTCAAAGCATTTGAATGCTCGGCGAAGTGACCATAACGCACGAAAACCTTTGATAGAGGCTGCGTTGCAATGCGTAGTTGTTTTCAAGTCATGACTTATTATCACTCGTAAGTCTTTATGTTCTTGAACGCATGGAAGAGGTTTATCATCAATAATGTAATGGTAGCTATTACCGTGACCAATGTGCATTAGCACACTCTTCCTAGAATTGATTTCTAAGCCTCAACCTCGAGTCCATCTAACTAATTCGTCTAAGTGCGCTTGGAGATCAAAATGATCAGTCTCACTTTTTATTGTTCTCCAGATTTTTACGTCATCCGCAAACAATAATGTCGACGACCTAAGTAACAGCAGTAACTCGTTAACGAAGAGAAGGGAGAGCAGAGGGCCTAAGATGGTGACCTGGGGTGCACCGCTTTTGACCGGCTTCCAATCAGATAGCGTCCTACTGACCCTCACTTTCTGTCTGCGGTCACATAAGAGGTTTCCTATCCACTCCTGTACAGTACTTATTATTCCGATGCTCGAGAGCTTCTACATAAGACCTAAGTGTGAAACCTTGTCAATTGCTTTATTAAAACCTATGAATATCACATCGACAGACAGGCCCTTATCTAAGACTGCTGTCTAATCCTCTCTCGCAGTAAGTTAGTCAAGCATGAACACTTGTTACGAAACCCGTGTTGCTCAGGAGCTAACGGACTGTGTGAACCTATGTGACTTAGCGACTTAACCCGACTTATCTTTTCAAGTAGCTTAACGACTATGCTGGTAAGACTGAAAGGCCGATAGTTAGATACGATCTGTCTCTAACCATCTTTAAACATAGTACTGACTATAGCGTCCTTCCAATCTCTAGAAAGTTGAGCGAGCGAAAGGGACATGTTGAAGAGTGTCGCGAGCGGTCGTGAAATAATGTCCGCAAGAGATGATAGCAGCCATGGATGTAACCCGTCAGGGTCCGGTATCTTACAAGGTTTGAGGTTAGTTACCAACGGAAGGACAGTTTCCTCAGTCACCTGTACAGATTCAATGGCTGGTATCGCGGTGTGAGTGGGACAAGCATTTGTTGCAATAAACGTAGAGTAGACCTCGCTAAAATAGCTTGAAAAAGTCTCAGCTTTTGCCCGATCTGATTCAGCTAGTAAATCTGAATTTTCGTGTAACAGTAACGGAGGAACACCACTACGTTTCATTCGCCGTTTAACATACGAAAACAATCGTTTCGGACAAGTGGTACGGGATTTCGCTATGGTTTTCTTACAGATATTACGGAATTTTTGGTACTCACGCTTAAATGGTGCATGACCTGTCAACAAGAATAAGTCCCAGAAATGTTTCCTACGCTTTAACAGCTTCCGGGTTTCCTTATTAATCCATGGAGGGCAATGTGATAGCTTACGTGCTGACCATGGGATAAACGGCGACGTTACGGACTCGAATGTAGCCTTAAACTTATTCCATTCATCTTCGATCAATCCATCCGCGTCGACCGACCAATCAGTCGAGATAGCACAGTTTCTGATTTCCGGAATATTAGCTCGCCAGATATTGGGACGGGGTGGAGCAGATACGAATTGTATACCATGTGTCCTAAACTTAAAGTGAATTACAACGTGATCACTGTTCACTAGTGGAGGAAGGTGCTGGATATCAAAGACATCCTCACAGTGGTGGGTGAGGGCGAGGTCCAGCAGTGACGGAACATGATGCAAATCAATATGTGTCGGTTTTGTGATACATTGTACAAGTGCACACTGAATAACGGTAGATAAAAGGTCGCTATCGAAACCACTACCTGGAGCTGTAAGCTCTATCCAGTTGATATGCGGTGCGTTGAAGTCCCCAATGATGAGACAACATTCTGCCATACTCCAAGAACAGATGTGTCTTAGGATAAAGTCGTCAGCCAGACAAGACGGACTACGGTATATTCCCCCTATAGTCACTAACCCATTTCTAGATTTAATCTTACAACATGCAACCTCACATGTGCCACTGATATGAGCCTCCGATATGGTTGATTGTATACGAAAGTGATCCCTAACGTATAATATTATACCTCCCCCTTGCGACTTGAAACTCTATCACTTCTGATACAGATATAACCAGCAATGAAAGGAGAACAGTCTATATCAACGGTGAACCAAGTTTCTGTAACAACGATTATATCGGGACATAATTCTTGCACCATCAGACTTAGCTCGGACGTTTTATTTCTAAGACTACGAGCGTTCGTGTAGCACACACTTAAGGTGTTTTGGAAATCAATCGTTCTACCCATACAGGCCTCGGAAGCATTGGCTTCCAAGACCTGACTACCCGAAAACCCTTAATGGTAAGGTTATTTTCGCCATTTAATTTGCGAGTCCTCAACTCCGTAAGAGCATTCTTCCACTTGATTCGATCCTCAAGCGGCCAATCTGGTCGAATACGGATATTTGAGGCACGAGTTTTTAGTGCGCTTTTCAATAATATGTCTCTTTCTTCGAAACTCCCGAGAACCAGCTTCAGGATTCTTCTTGGTTGGGTCTCGCCTCCAACCCATTTACCAAGTCGTATTACTTTTGTAATATGTACCCCTGAAACCTCTTCAGGTAGTACATTCCTTACCACAGACTCCACTAACTGCAGGTCATGTGCATGTCTTTAGCAGGGTCGTTGTCTTTCGACTCCTCTAGATTCCAAATAATTAAAATAGGGAGTGGTTTAGCTTCTTTTGAAACTGTGTTCACGGCTTTCGATCGTGATGTTAGATCCTGTATATTAACTACTGTCTTACAATTGTAACAGAATCATGGTAATCGAGCGAGTAACTCACAACAATCTTTGGCGAGGCTTTACCTTTGAACTTTAGCGGAGTAGTCTGTGAGTCTACCGAGGACTGATCAAGTAAACGGATATTAGTTTCATCTATCTTTCCTAGTCCTCTGCGTTTCCGCGTCATCCATTTTCCATCAGTCGTAGCATCTACATTAGAACTACTCGGGACAGTATTTGTTTTGTCTGGGTCACCGGTTGCTGCTGTAGAAACATGACCACCAATATCTAATGACGTGTCACCCATTGGTTGTTTCAGGGTAGAAGGTTCGATTGCGCGTTGCACAGTTGGATATCTGGCCTGTGCCGTGACAGCACTTACGACACTGACGCAATCTTCACCATCAGTACAAATGTTACCGATACATCCCTCGTCGACCTTCTTATCAGCCAACACCAGAAGGCTAATTGCTTCCTGGATGAGTAATGTTTTTCTCGAGCGACAAAACATACAAAGCCGATGGGAGTTGGGCTTTGAGCACCTTTTATATGCAGTAGGGTTTAATCGGGTGCACATCTTATGGGACTACCTATCACACTCATCACATTGCATCCTTTCATCCACGATGAATGAACAATATGGTTGCCCACATTTATAAGCGGAGCTGGCCATCTTGAAAATCAACTAAAATGGTGACACAAACATGATATGCAAAAGAATTCTCAAACCTAAACTAAATAAATCGAGTAAAAGTCAACCAAGTATGCTTCGATGCAATAAATACACAAATGCAAAATCGAAACAGTCAATACAATATCACTTTAACTGGAATAGATTCAACTAAAGTGTAAACAGTAGTTTTGATGCGTAATTTCGATCAAAACAGTAAATTAACTCAACGAGAAACAATACCACTGTCCTTTTAAATAGCGCGCCAGCGTAATCACTGTATATACCATGTAATATCCCGAAACAGCATTAGGTCTGTGAGGGATATTCTGTCCACTGGTTTCATAAATATTACTTATGAAAGTACAGTATAGTAACATGTATATTCAGTGATTTTTGTGACGAAAGAGATAGCATTTTGGTTTATTTGTAACGCTTTATATGTAATCTCATGTACACCCAATATCCATTGTTCCTCTGCAACAGTGGTAAAGGGTGGATATAATTTTTTTTCGTTGTACGATATTCAAAAAAGACAGTGGTGTTTTGCCTCTGAGTACATTTTATAGTATTGATCGGTAAATGACGCACCAATACTAATGTTTTCGCTTTAGTTGAATTTATTTCAGTTCAAGTAATCCTCAAGAGTACTGTTTTTTTATAAAGAAGTTTATCATTTTTACTTTGTGAATACAGATACAAAAAACCTAGGGGCATTGGTACTTATCCTTCATCTTTGCATATATCCTTGAGTATTGTTTGCATATTTGGGTGTTAAGGTCTTTCTGTAACCACCTAAGTCAGGTTTTTTTTACTGTTGTTAGGTTTAGTTATATACAAACCTCTGTTATAGGGTGCATACATTTGTTCACTGCTCCCAGACATCCTTGTTCTAATGGTCAGGTAAAAAATTTTGTCGGGACATTGAAAACTGATATCGATTCTATTGCCACTTTAACATTTAATGAGCTGGAGAGGGGAATAGGTACTTTTCTATAGCAATATAGAAATGCCAGACATCCGGTGACGAAAGCGACTCCATCAAAGCTATTAAAAGGAAGCATATGAGATTTCTGGAGTCTGCAGACGTTACATATTATCGTGGAAATTATCTTCGGCCAATCATGGGGGTCGTGCTGAAGAATGTCTGAAAATATATGATGCGAATTCTAGACATCAGTGACTTAAGTACACACAATCGACATGTTGATCAAATACAGTTCCAGGAACTGCGTGAGTCTGTTCCAATTTCGGTTGGTAATTCTGATGGTAATGAGTACATTCTAGATAATACATAAACATTATCCAATACACTGTCCAACAGACACAGGGTGAACCTGAGAAGAAGACGTACAATCGATTGCAGACTTTTAGACTTCAATTTAAGCTATGGCGGATGTGGTGTTTAAATGAATTAATGATGCCTCTGCACTTTTTGAACGCTTAATTTCGAGTTCCAAATACAGTACAATCGTTCGTGTTTATCTAGTAATTTTCGATCCAATTGCGTTATTTCTGGGGTTCTTAATTAGTACATAATTCAAATACTCCTAACCACCACAGTAGTACGTCGTGACGTCAAGCTATAAAATCCCTGACGAATGAAGTTCTTATGTTGGTTTTCAAACCAGTTGGTTATCCTGTGCTAAGTTATTCATGCGTCTTGATGAACTTATATATATAGACATTTTTGTCACTAAACACTACGCACCCTTTATCACGAGCGATAGCGGGCCGTAATAATACATATGTTATGAGAACTCCAGGCCCTTTATCACGAGCTTGATTGTAGCATCACTCTACGCTTCTAAATCTACAATAGGTAAGAATACAGCACCGAAGTAACCTTGCTTGCAAATAAGTCATTTATCTATACTATTCAATAGGCTTTAGCTTGTTAATCATTTAAACTGTTCTTCCTGACATCATATAAATGGAATTCTGCACTCAGCATCTCTATTTCAACACGAATTTGTGTGGGGATATCAATTTTGTCTGGGTTTGTTTCTGCAGCAAAAATAATCTTAATCTTAAGATGAATTTAAAGAACGAGGTCCGGAAGTAATAATACGCTGTACAAATCGTCAGTATCTTTTATTCCCATCTGCCTGGTTGCTACAATTGCTGGACAAAAGCCCAGCTTATAAGAGGGTTCTTCGACTGATAACTTAGTACTTTTGTACAAAAGAGTTGATCTGTACTATATACTGCCAACGAAGTTTTGTTACTAATAGTGTCATTATTATTGCGTAAGACCGTAAGATTATTGTCTAGGTCTATGGAACTAGGATAATCGACCGATACGGTGTGACTACCTGGTCTACAAGAGCCTACGTGAAAGTCACATCATTATCTATGCTGACTTGCTCAGTCATAACAGACAATAGTTTGTGTCAAGGATTTCTGAAGAATACATTTGGGGTGGCTAGAAATGGCACAATTAATCAGACGAGCAAAATGTTACATAGAGTGACTACACCTGCCTTGCCATACCGATTAAGTGTCTCTGCGTTCATCAACTTTGACCTCTTCTAAGTGTTAAATGTACAATTTAAACCTTCACAGATATCCTGTGTTAAGTATTGAAGATCGTGTGGTTTTTGATCCGTACTGCCTTAAGACCATCCTCTAAAACAAAGCTTATATTTACTGAAGGGACTTGTTGTACTACTTTTGGAAACCAATGGGTGGATATATTCACATAGTACACCGCAAGATTTAGATTGTCAACAAAACTCGGTTCAGCGTCATTACATTCTGAAGACACACTGAATTTTACTCACTTTTCTCAGCTACCACCTTTAATATGGTTCAGCTAGTATCATAGGTCCATTGACATTGGACTGTTTCTAGATGCCAGTCATAGAGATATCAGTAAAATGACTGAAATCTAGTGATCACTCTAAAGGTGCGTGAATGCATTCAGCTTGACTGGAAGTTCAGCAAAATTAAAGTGACACCTTACAGACCGTACAATATTTTCAACACAAAACTATGCTTATGAAGAGACCACCTTACAGTATGAGTACATGCAGAAGTAAATCTGATCGAGTCCAGAACTATATAGCTCACCAGTTGGAGAGATAATGATAGTACCTAAGAATGGGTCTTTCAACACACTGAACATTAACTTCCTTTCTAATAAATAACTTGGAGGTATTCTAGGGTTTTTTTCAACCATTTCTTCTAATACCAGCGAACGATTCGTCAGAGTGACCCAATAGGCAATTTGGAACAGGATAATACTGGTCTCAAGCATCAGCCAACGGTTTCTGATAAAAAAAGAGGAATTGACAAATTTTAAAGGAAACGTGTCTTTACTTGTGGAATGGGGGTTGCGAATAAGAAAGTCGTTTAAGATAAATAACTTGAGTACTGGAAGGGTTTACTTTGATTAAGAGGGTGCAAAGGTGGTGATTATTTCTCGAACATATTCAGCTGTTAATGTCCGTTAAAATCAACGTGTTTACAATCAATGCGCACTGTTTGGAAAAGTGATTATTTTAGGGAGTTATTTACCAGTTTAGTCCCTTTTCGCCACATATAAGTTCGGTTAGGAGTTATAAAGCTACGCAGAAAAGAATAAGTTTCAGCAGCGAATAGTAAGGAGGTTCAGCAAATTCGGATATATGAAGGTTCAAAACTGAAGAACTACAAGCTCGCTTATTATTTAGCATGATTTTTTAAACGTTGAGGCCACGAAATTTTGTCAGAAATAGCTTTTAAAAATGATTGAATAAAGATAATAGTCACATAACGTAACTGGGTCACTTCCAGATTGTATCTGTGTGTTAAAATGAATAAACGTTGATTTACTTTCTTGGACAAACAAATAGCGGCAATATAAATGCACGTTGGAATTACGAGCAGTTGCTTTTCAAACCAATATATAACTCGTGATTCTATTAAACTCATGTTTCAAAACAAGCTGAATGAGTTCTTTCAAGTGTCTGTGAAGTCCGGTCGAACAACATCACTGTGATTGCCAATAATTAAATCGTAGAATTAATTTATTCTGATTAACATTTCCACTATCACGAGTTATGATTAAAAAGTTGAAAACTATTGCGATTAGACTTGGAATAAAGCGTCCTCCTCAACCTTCACAAAGATTCATCCCAGTAGGCCCAGTCTCCAAAGAGCTCTTTCCAGTTGAAGGATATCCCTTGAGGAAACTTTATGGTAGGAATAAAGTCACAACCACAAAATACACGTGGTATGGTTTCTTTTTTCAAAATCTTGGGGAGCAAGCTCAGAGGATTGCGAACTTTTATTTCATCAGTCTTGCTATAATTCAGTTGTTTACAGATTCACCAGTATCTCCAACTACATCGATAATTCCATTATTTTTTGTGCTCTCAGTGACTATGATCAAACAAGGCTACGAAGACTTCCTGAGACTTAAGGCGGATAGAGAGATAAACCATATTCCTATTGAGATAGTTACTGAGAATGGTCACTTAACGACAGTAAAATCTATGGAACTTGAAGTTGGGAACATAATCTTATGCAGAAATAACTCCTCATTTCCTTGTGATATGATTTTGTTAAGTTCAAGCGAACCCAGTGGAGAGTGTTTCGTTACAACTGCAAGTTTAGATGGTGAGACAAACTTGAAAAAGTTCGAAGTGGCTGGTCATACAAATAAATTTGATACACCTGAATCACTTGCTTCGGAGCTAATAGGTTACATATGTTGTCAACAACCGGTAGAAGATCTATATACCTTTAGTGGCCGTATTTGCCTAAAAAACTCAGTTGAAGATACGATTACCAAGGATTATCCGCTTGGACCTAAAAATTTACTACTGAGAGGAGCGTGTCTTCGTAATACTGATTATATATATGGTTGTGCTGTCTACACGGGCCGTGATACAAAACTGGCCCTTAATTCAAAGGGAAAAACCACAAAATTTTCACAAGTTGAAGGAAGGCTGAACTTCTACCTCTTTTTTATTTTGGCGTTTCTGGCTTTCAGTGTGATCGTCTCCATTATTCTGAGCTCAGTCCTAGGTCATCCTAACGTCTGGTACCTTCCACCAGAAAAGAGAAACGCTTGGAATGTATTTCAAGAACTTTTAGGATTCGTTGTTCTATACAATTATATAATCCCAATCTCTTTGTATGTTACAATAGAAATGCAAAAATTTATTGGTTCTTTATTTTTTGAATGGGATTTAAACTTATATGACGAGAGGATAAATGAAAGAGCTAAAGCTAACACTTCAGATCTAATTGAAGAAATGGGTCAGGTAAGCAGAGCTTTTCACCAAATAACGATTTTTACTTTATGCTTATTTTATATTGTTTTATATCTTTAACTCAACTTCTTATATTATGAAGTGAAATCAATTAGGAGGATTGTAAACACATTTTTGTGCTAAGATCAAATAAAATTGATTAAGGAAAACGTTCAATCCAACATCAGACTCTTAAACAGATATCTCGTTCAAATTATGCTGTCCTTAAAATTGCACTTAAAAACTAAGGCTAAGAATAAGGAGTTACAGAATGGTTAACTTTTACTTGCTACAAAGCAATTATTTGGTATAATCCTGGTTTATAAAATGACTAGATAGTTGAGGAATAACAATTATATCCAGTAGGATATTAATACCTTATTTTTAGCAGAGGACGATTTCTCTTCAAAAATTAACTAATTGCTTGAAAATAAGTGACTTCATTTGACAAAATCTAGGTAGCATACTTATGTATGCTTTTTGACAGTGCTTTATAAGTCCCCTGTAAATTTATAAATAAGTTCAAAGAATGTGACCAATAGTCTCAAAATAATTGTAAGATTTTGTTGTTCTTGATTAAACTTATTTAATTGTTTTTGATTTTTAAACTTATCTCAAAGTCGATGGCTGTGTTTTTTCTAACATAATAAAAATGTTTCACAAAAATGAACAAATTAGTGTACCTCAGTGCTATTTAGTAAGAAGTTTTTTTACCTTTAATGACTAGATCTTAGTAATAAGTCCACGTGTTCTGATTTTTTACCAAATATGCAAAAATGGGTACATAAATCTTCTATTTTCAAAATACTCTTAACGAGAAAAAAATTCTTCTGTACTATTAGTTTGATTATAAATTTAATATTAGAGCAGAAAGCATATAAAACTGATTATTTTTAAGCATATTTGAAGTTATATCACCCTACTTGCCCATATAAAACAGTTTATAGATTATATTTTGTTAAGATCAGATTGTTCGAAGTGTTTTGAGCTAATATATCACATAGATTTAGAAATCCTCGTCTTCTTATTGAACTATTTAAATTTATCAAAGGGAGCACTTACTTCACGATTTAATGTCAAAACGCGCAGATAATAAGACTTATACTATGATAACAGTTAGAACATACTAAGGTTTCCTTTACTTCTCGTCATAAAGTTTTGCTTATCTTTTAAATTTGTGACACGAAAACTTCTGAGGGTAAATTTACTGCTTTTTCATAGAAGGTAATATTTTTATCTTTTTTGTAAAACTATAAGATCAACTTAGTACGCACAAATATATATTTTGATCATTAATTTAAGACGATAATTTCTAGAAATCGGACCTTTTAGTGGGGATTTATGCAGAAAATTGAGAAAACATAATCCTTAGTTTTTCATGTATCTTATTTATGACCAAATTGCTACTGTGATTGGATAAGGCCAACATTAACTTATGTTCTCAGCATGAATCCCTAGTATACTCAGAAAGTTAAAACTTCATGGGCTAGACACGTTAACTAACAGTCAGTATTTTTTTGAAATCTCGTAGAAAATATACCAAATCGCGCTTATAAAACTTGAATAATACCGACTCAACATCTGATTGCTCATTTATATACAACCAGTGCTATGTTTTACTAACATATGTTATTCTTTTTAACCGTTGAGTTGTTTGAAATAACTACAACATTATTCGTATCCCTACGATGGTCAATGTAGCCGGCTTTGAGTTAATTTTTTTTGTTTATAAATTTTATCAAGTCCGTTTAATCATTTAGTTAGTTATAGCTAAAAACAATTTAACATTTTAAGTATTATTGTAAGCTTTTATAAATTAAACATCAAATCTGATCAATGTAAACTCAGCATATTAAGTTGTTCTGCTAAAAGCCTTGGTACGTTTATTTGTCGGATACTCGTTACATTGGAAACGAGAGATTAAACTTGAAAACAAATGAATTAATTGTAGTTCTCATCCATATGTATATCTTTCAGATTTATAGTTCATATCTTGATATATCTTGTTCAAAATGTTCATCAGTACTTTCCTAAAATAAACACAACAATACTATACAAAGAAAAGTGTCAAATATATAACTACATTCATGTCAAAAAGGCATCATAAACTTAAGAAAGAAATAGAGAGTCAGGCAAAGAAAATTTTCCTTTTGATAGTATCATTTACGAAAGCTGTACATTCAATTTATAGTAATTTAATAAATATCCGAGTCCAGTGTTGTAGGAAAATATAAATCACAAAGGAATTTCAAGTATTACATGGTGGCTGTGCAATAATCTAGGGGTTCATGAAACTCATGAAGGCGGAAATTATTTTATGGGTCTAAAATGCAAGAGATAACTGTTTGCTTAACGGGTATAAGGAAGAAATGAAAAATGTAAAGGTGATAGTAGCAGTGAAATGATAATTATCAGAAATACGGCAATAGAGTAATAACAACAGGTTGTGAATTAAAGAATGAGTAAAGGCATACTAAAAGTATTTCTAGTGTAGTGGATGCTAATAAAAAATTTCAAGTAGTATATAGCGGAACGTAGCATTTAATTTACAACAATTTTCAGGTGGAATGATGAATTTCAGTGCATCGAAGGCATGGACCCGACAGAACACTTGGAGACCAGATGACAAAATAGTTCAGATGGCAGAACACACCGAAAGATGCGAATGGATGATTTAAAGCTATATATATGCATTATGTAAATACTTTGTAACTCCAGCCTGTTGCCTTCTTTTACACTATGGTCACGAAAGCTGGGAGGTTGAACGTGTTGCTTTTGTATACAGAGTTTGGGCTTGAATTGATGGATTATCTACTTCACAGAAGTGCAAAAGCTATTGTTATGGCATTTTTTTTGATGGAATTCTTTTGACCATGTAGATTGTTTTGAAGGAGTATTCTTGTAGGGCAACGTACTTAGAGTTGATGATATATTCCCACACTGAAACAATATAAAATATTTTTCTCAAGGATTCTATGAGTCAGATTTTTAGAATTTTCACTTTAGTATCCCCTTTAAGTGTTTATAAAGAGAGTTTCCCTTTGAACTGTAGATGATTTTCCAGATTGTAGTTTAGGGTTAGAACAGTTTATTGTCTATTGTGTCTTCGATATATATTTGTTTAGCTCTTAAGAACTAGATTTCTCTTTCTGCCCAGTTTAACTCAACTTTGAAAATCCAAGTATTGATCATTCTTTGTTGATATTCTGTAATACAGAACGTTGTGATAAGCTTTTAAATGATCATATGGTTTTGCATTAATAGTCAGTTAAATATTGAGATACTTTGATTAATAGGTTAGAAGAGAGCTAGGGGAGACCAGAATAAAACATGGCACAATTCCATAAAGTCATTGACAAGTGGACTGAGCCATGTTGTTAGGTGTAGACTGCGTGGTTGGGATCCGCGAGACGATAGCAACCGATGGTTAGAGACCCTGAATGACATGACTCAAAATCGTTTACAGTGACGCAGGTGTATCCACTCTTTGTGTTCTCCCGAATTCTAATCTCCTGAATCCTCCTTGTTTCTTTTTTTCTCTTTCCAAATTTATTTCACTGAATTATATTTCTTGAATAACATCTTCAAACCCTAATGCTTTCTATTAGTGCTTATACTCTTACTACCTCTACTACTATGGGAATAAAAGCTACTTTCAAAAAATTGGAGCTTTCAAAAGATGTAGAATTGTTACATCTTTATCCGTCTCTTCAATAATATACAAAAGAGAATCTGTTTCGATCTGGTTTAGGGTCTTGACACGATAGGGTAACTAGATCAACCTTGAACTGTGAGTCCGAATTGTGACTAAACGTTTTTGGCGCAAAGTGATGAAAACAACTCTACAGCCTGAATGGTTGACAAGAGAGAGAGAAAGAAAAAGAAACAAGTCAACTGAACTACTTCTTGATCTATCCTTAATTCAAATGAATGTAAAAAGACATCAATAAATAGATGACTAACATCACTACAATTCACAAACAATTAGGAAAATACAATAATGTCCAAAGTGAGCCTTGCGATAAAGAAATGAAGTACAAAAGGTTACGTTTAAATTGCAATAATTTTGAAATAGGAAATGGTATAACACTAAACTATACATCAAACGAAAGATTATGATTGATGAAATAAGTAGTATTTGAATTCAGTCAAATAATATTCCTAAAAAATAGCTTCCATGGATTGTTATGGCTTCTTTATTTCGTTATTCACATTAAGAATAAACAAGCTATACAATAGTATAGAATAGTAATTGGGTGATCTGTTTCTAACAATAGAGCATATTTAGTTAAACTAATATCAACCAAGTTGTCATGAAAAGAACTAAAGAGTGAATTAGATGATTTCTAAATTGCTTATTGAAGTAACTTAATGTACACCATCAAAGAGCTAGACAATAATTCAGTTCCTTATTATTTGATAATCATGAGAGACATATTTACTCAACCATGAGGTAATTCATGTTAATCTACTTTGTTCACCTGAGCATCATCAGAGTTAAGTTTGTGAGGCATAGTGGACTGTTTTTTTAAAAAAATCGATTGTACACACTCAAATGCCATGTATTCGGAATAAAAAAACCTAGTCACTTTTTGTTATAACTTATGGGTTTGTGCCCCTATCAATGTATGACGTAATGATACCGCCAATTAGAGAACAGTGAGTTATCAACCGGACCAATGACACATATAACCCATACGAGCAGTCTAGAGTCTTTACCGGTCCTGCTTCCTACCTAGCCCTGCCTGTTAAGTTCAAAACACAAACCTCAGTCTCTGAGATATGAATCATGTATTTTAAACATATTGGCTTTATGTACAAACCAAACAGACCACATCGTACCATAAAATAGTAAATAACATTTGTACAAGATTAAGCCAAAAGTGGCTGTGAATGTGAGAGACTGTAATTAATAGAATGCTCATAACTCAAGAACGGTAAATTGTATAATAATAGCCTATAAGTCAAAATAAAGCTGATAATAAGAGGAACACGAATATACATAGTTTTAA